GAGCTGACTCGCATGTCTCGCCAGTGGAAGGCAGATTGAAATCTCCCAGGATCATAAGCCTGTAGAAATCAACTGCCAATCCAGCTAACACATCCAGCAGCTCTGGCAGGGCCAATATAAAATAGCAGGGAGACAGGTACATAACAAAAAGGCCCACCTGAACTCCAAGGTCCCATTTCACAAAAAGGGACTTACACCCGCCTATCTGAGGCACAGTGACCTCCTGAGGTCCGAGACTTTCCCTAATAACCATCGCCACCCCACCCCCACCCCCGCCCCTGCCCTGGGCTCTTGGCTGGTGAAACGTCCAGAAGCCTGGTAAGGAGAGGAGAGATCAGGCAATTTGTGGCTGTCTCCTTTTCTGATTCTTCTTTCATTCCAGACAACTAGCTATACTATTTGCTCTCTGGGATGTCAGACCTGTTTTTAAACATCAAGCTAATAAATGAATAAGTTCTCTCTCATGTATGATTTGACTGTGGATAAGAGAAGCACTTAACTTATACAGCTGCCCACGGCTTGGAGATTTGAGAGATCATTTTCAAACAAACAGAGGATCAAATACAGTAAGTAGATGCTTACTGAAATTCCATTTTTCTTTCCAGTCTTCTTGTCCATTTTAATACAAATGTATTGTGCTTTTTCTGATGTTGGGCATCAGAATAGATATATCATCTATTCAGCTACCCAGAAGTCCTCGTGTCTAAGGGTGATCCTGGATTGGGTGCCAAGACTTCTAAAATGATGATTCTAGGGCATTGAAATAGATATGCCATATACCAAGGTTGGAGTTGCTCAAGGTTTCATGGCAGTAATGTGCCAGGGAACATTCTCAATCCATTTGCATTTTGTTTGTTTGTTTTCTAGGATTGGAACCTGGAGCTGAAGGATGTGACCACTTCTTGTTGGGATTCAGACTTCAAATCGATATTCCTTTCTGCATAGTTGGGGAAACATTAGGAAGGTCCATCTGCAAAGGACAACAGATTCCAGAGGATATTGAAAGTTTTCCTGGTGTTTATCTGGGTGCTTTGAAGTCAGAATTTAAGTGAGACTATCAAATAAAGAAAAATGACCCAGACAGTTTTCACAATTGCTGCTGAGTAGATTTTGTCACTGTCCAGGTGCCCTTCAAAAATGTGATAGGCAGGCACCTGAAGTAATGACATGAGCTGAGAAACATCTGGAATGCAGGTGGAGGAAAACTCATCCTATACAGATTGAAGGCTAAGAAGAGTTCATTACTGAACCTACTATGTGGTGATGGTGAAAGTGAAGAAGTAATTTTTCTCCTCCTAGATAACTTTGGGGAGAATTTGTCCAAGTTAGATTTGACTTGAACAGCTCTGCAGTGTTTCCAGTTTTACCTAGAGGCTATCTCCAAAAAGCAATGCTGGGGGATTTTTGCTCAGCCCCATGGCATTTATATTTATTGGATTTTGCAGTATTATACTCTATTCCAGATTGTATTTGACATACTATAAGGCTGCTGATTGAGGTCATTCTGAAATCTGAAGTGCTAACATCAGTATGCTGACAGCATATAGGCCTCTTGCTTTTTTTAAGTGCCAGGAAAAATAGTGAAAATGCTGAATCAGTGCTTGGACTGAATGAGAGCAAAAAAATCTTGAATCTCCATCTGGAGAAGACAGAAGTACTGGTAATGGATAGTGTGCCTCCCTAAGAGGGTTCAAAGATGGATTGGGTTCCTCCTAATGGATTGAGTTTTGGTTGAGAGTGCTTCTATATCCATTTTTGCCATTAGATTCACAATTGTCCTCTGTGGAGTGATGCACCTTATACCAATTTAGGATAGCTATTCTACAATAATCCATGCCTTGGAACTATCCTGTAATGTGGTATTCATGAGGTTTCCTTGAAGATGGTCTAGAAACATCAATAAACAATATTGCAGAAGAGTGCTGCATTATAACCAGCTTAGTACAACTTTTGTTTGCTTTTAGGATCTGGTATTAACTTTTAAGATTTTCATAGTTTGGGAGCAGTTACCTGAGAAATCTGTCTGCATATATTTTTATACACCAAATTCAATTTTGGAGGTTTTGCTTTGATTATTCTGCATAGCAAGCCTTCTGTGTCATGGAGCCAGCTCTCTGGAAAGACATTCTCCCTAAGATAAATATAACCCCACAAATATACTTGACCTTTTTTAAACAATCGCTTAAACCCTGCCTCTTCAAGGTCTTGAGCTAGGGTGGTGGCGGGCTCCTTATACAATGAATTGTTTATTGGATTCTATTTTTCCCTTTCTGGCTATTTCTATTTTATTGTTTTACACTGTTTTATGTATGCACACAGAGTTGCAGAGTCAGGCAGTCTATAAATCAAATGCCGTTAAGTTAGCCGTTTTTTCTGGGGAAGGCTATAATGTTGGGAAAGGTGGAAGGAAAAACAATGATCAGCAGAAAGGTGGATTGACTCAGTTAAAGTGGCAATGGATGCCCCACTGGAAGACTTGAAGGATGAGATTAGGGATAGATGGTCATGGAGAAAATCTACCTATGTGGTTGCTAAGAATTATGACTGATTTCATAGTATGTAATTAATCAAAAGTAAGTAGGTAAATAAATGAATACCTAAATAAATACCAAGTGGCTACCTGAAGGCAAGTCTTGTCAGTGGTAACCCTCCATACAGTATACCTGGCATTGACTTTATTATTTTTTCAGCACTAGGCAAACACCTTTAATTTTCCAGATATTTTAATAAATCAAGCTTCTTTGCTCTTGCTGATATTTCTATAGTTTTAATTTCATTATCCTTTAATTATCAAGTTTTGTTGTGTATTTTAATGGTTGAGAACTGTATTGTTTCATTTTAATGGACTGCAAACTGCTCAGAGAAAGCCTAGTTAGCATACATAAGGTATGTAATATATGTAATAAATAATACTACTTTCTTTTACAGGTTCATATGATAGCTAACAGTAAATTCTGGGTTACATATAGTATTTGAAACATTTGAAACCCTAAGAAATTAACAAAAGACAATTTAATTTAGATCACAAATTATGTTCAGACTTTGGGAAACACACAAGACTTCACACTGCCTTGCAGCGCTAAACAAACCGACAGTAGATGGCAGCAATTATGGTGCTAGTATCATTTTACATGGCATGAAATAGAGCAGAAACCAAGACTCACTAGGGACAAAGGGAGTTTCTTTTCAGGAATTCTGTACCCGATATTTCCCACAGGAACCCATTCGATTAAGACGCTCCCCTGCTGCCCCTCCCACACACAATTGAATCCAGGCCTCTATTAAACCCAAAACCATGTGACTGACTCAGCTACACAGTGTGTTACTTCACTGCTTACCTTGACTCCTCTTCCCTCCCTCTTAAATGTCATAAATATTGACAGCACCAAATAAAGAAGTAATAATACCCTCTCAGATACACAAAGGACTTTAGAGATCACTTTATTTCCTAATAGTGTAGAAACAAGGCAAGACTAACGTGTTAAGAAAAGAGAAGCTCTATATTAAAGAATAGCTTAAATGTAGAAAGAAAAATAGAGGAGAAAAAGTCTAGAAAGATCATCAAGCAAATATAATTCATTACTTAATAATAATATCATCAGCGGAACACTGTTTTAACTTTTCTCTCCTTACTTGAGTTTTTTGGTATGGATTTCTCCTTGTCTCAGAGGAGTAATAAGATGTCCGATTTAGCCGCTGACCTGGATCCTGACAAACAAAGCCTTGGAGAGAGGAAGGGAGGAAGACTTGTAAAACGAAGGACATCTAATTATGGATCAATGTGATAGCATCCTGATAGCATCAATGTGCTACCTAAAGACTAGGGCTATCATAGATGCTTCCCAGGGCACTGCTTAATTATAAATATTGTTAAGTAACAGAAATGAGTCCCCTTTGCAGAAACTATGCCACTATTACATTTACATTATAACAAATGACATGTACCATATTTTTCAGAGTATAAGATGCACCGGAGTATAAGATGCACCCAGGTTTTAAAGAGGCAATTTTTTTTAAAAAAGTAGGTAGGTAGAGGGATAAAGGGAGAGAGAAATACAGTAGGTAGGTAGGGAGAGAGAGTGTGTAGGTAGGTAGGTAGATAAAGAGAGAGAGAGAGAGAAATACAGTAGGTAGGTAGGGGGAGAGAGAGTGTGTGTAGATAGGTAGGTAGAGGGATAGAGAGAGAGAAATAAAGAGAGATAGAGGGAGAGAAATACAGTAGATAGGAACAGAGAGAGAGAGAGAGAGAGAGAAGGTAGGTTGTTAGGTAGGTAGAGGGATAGAGAGAGAGAAATAAAGAGAGATAGAGGGAGAGAAATACAGTAGATAGGAACAGAGAGAGAGAGAGAGAGAGAGAAGGTAGGTTGTTAGGTAGGTAGAGGGATAGAGAGAGAAAAATAGAGAGAAATACAGTAGATAGGTAGATAGATAGATAGATAGATAGATAGATAGATAGATAGATA